GGAGAAAAAACTCAGTCATATGGTTTCGTTTTCACCCGTGTCGTAAGTAACCATAGAGGTACTCAGTGATGGTCGACCACAGGGGTTCTCTCTCGCTCTCTTACTCTGATTCATCTAACTTTTGTGGATCATTCAACAGTATATTTTATAAATAACTGTACTACTGAAGTAACAAGACGCGAGACAAGACTAAAAATGTACAACTAAACTTCAATAAATAAAATATAAAACCTAAACTCGTGTCTAGCACATAATAGGAACTCTGACGTTTGATTCAGCCAACCACCCACAATATTGTATCCCGGTCAAGTGCCGCGGTTACCAGTAAACAGAAACTTGGGTTAACATACTAAAACATCTTGTCGTCGGATGTACAGAGAGGCTGAACTCAGTGTACTCATCTAACCTTTCTGGACACTTGTTGTTTCCTACAGTGTTGGTTAGGTGGCACTATATGAGCAGGCACTTCATTAAACGAGAATTCATGAGGCGTGTGAGGCCGCAGGAGACCTCTAGCCTCTGACACTGGTGACCTCTGACCTCTTAATGGACACAGGTGGACACACTACCACTGACTACACTTGGTTGTGTTTATGATGTTGTAGTAACACACCTCAGTATGTAAAGTTAGAAGCAGTAATCACCCCCCAGTAGCCGGAGCCACGGCAAGGTGAAGGCCTGGTGATCGGACAACCCCCTCCCCCCAGTCTAAACATTGTTGGGTAGCTGTGTAACTATCGTGGCTGGTGAAGTTGCACTGTGTCAACATGGGCCTTCACTGGATGTAGTTCCAGTTGCTAGGGTGGGGGGGAGGGGGGCAATTACCGCTTCTAACTATACAATCACCTCAACAGTTCACAGTTTACGCCAGCACTACATGTTAAAACGCTGGACAAAGGAGAGGCGGCAGCAAGACAGGTAGCTGACAAACAAACACACTCCACTTACTGTACACCTTCTTTCCTTAAAGTATGTAGGGCAACTTTATCATGTACAAATGTCATGTTCAAGAGTAGTCGCTTCGTATATCATCTTCCGAAGTTGGCAAATATATATATAAATATATATTACCTTAAACAAGTGTAACTGCAATGAACAACAAGTGAGAAGGAACACAGCTGCAAGGTTGAGTACAGTAGACATTCTCCTGGCAGCGAGCGTGGTAACTGGCCAGAGAATTCCTAGTTTTTGCCAATGTTTCTTCCCAGATTATCTGTTGCCTTTGCTGGGGACACTCGTCTACTTGTATGAATAATATATCAGACAGACTATTATTATTCATAAGAATTTTAAGTCTAGAAATACAGCCAGGAGGACCGCACGTTCAGCAGTGTGAGATGAAAATAGTCTATACCTCAGGTGTTGTCTTATGTGCTATTAAATTAATGTGATTATTATTTAACAATAAACATAAGAGTCTCGGCACCACAGCAGCAGGAAAAATGTGCTTCTGTCCTAAAAGACCTCATCCCATCCTACGCACTTGGATTAAATATAGGATTGGGCCCCGTGACCATTAGTCCTGAACGGTTAGGTTAGCTTGGGGTCTATCAGGACTAGGGCCTGTGTGACCAGACACCGTTATCACTGACCACCAGATAAGGTGGAACAGGCCGGGAGCTGTGACTGTCACATTCCCCAGACCCTTTGTGAGATGGTGACACCCCCGTCACACACCGGGGAGGAAGGGTAAACGGCCCCATAGTTATCCTCCCTCCCTATCTCCCTTCCTCCCCATTTATCTCCCATACCTCTACTTTATTTCCACCTCTCTCCTTTATTCTACTCTCCCTCTCCATTTCTCCCCATCAATCTAACATTCCTCATCATTCAGGTCTTCGCCTCAGTCCATCCTGCTGCGGTGGACCACAATCCTAAGGTGCTCCAATAGGTACGAATACAAAAGGTTAAATTAGATTAGATTAGGCCCACTTGACCTCTAGCCTCCGGGCTTGATACTCGTCTGTATTTAATTGACGAGGTACAGTACCGCCAGAGAACAGCGAGCAGGGGCGGCAAATACGCTCTTGACTCTATAACATAAGGGCAGCCCACATACAACCGCCCACCACCCACACTCACAACACACAGGTCGCAGAGAGGTTTAGTCTGTAACTCCTGTCAAACATAATTGTTACACGATTAATGAGGAAATCGATTGGTGTGGTTGTTGGCACTGACTCCGCCCACAATACTGTGTGTGACCATTCACAATGCAAAAGAGAGTGAGTGATTGGATGCTCAAATAACACTTTGAATTACGGGTGAGCTTCTCTGAAAACACTTATAGTAGTTTAGATGAGGCTGGTGTGTGTGTGAAGGCGTGGGGTGGTGGCGGTCTAAGTCATTTCACTAGACAAATTATAGTGTTATTCCAGGTAACTGTACGAGTGTATGAGTGGGGTGGAGGACCTCCCATGGTAAGTGTAGGACATAACTAAAACATAGTGTCCTGCGTCTTAAGAGTAAGTTAACTTCCCCTATTAACTTGTGTTGACCTAACTACCCGGAGCTCCTCCCCACAACTGATGGACAAGTTTAGAATATTACTCTTATTTCTCATGAAGACAGAACAATGAGTGAGACTATTAACATTATATTCTTGTTGTAATTGATGATCCTCTTCATTCACTTTTATAATTAAGGGAATAATCAATCATAAAACACCCCCCCACCCCCCCGCTGTTACAACATATAACAGTAAAAACAGCGTAAGCTAACAGTAAGCAATGACTCGGTAAATAAGAACATGTGAGAACAGCAATAGTGTAAGTTAATACAGCGGCACAGAAAGTAGCACAAGGAAATCCTATACAGTCAAGACAGGGATTCACAAGGACAGGTAGTCAGCGCTTTAGGGCTTCTGGGCTGCTTACTTGCTGCACTGTCAATGAATCACTGCACTTAACTTCTGCTCGACCAGTGACTGTCTCTGTTGGCCTTCTTGACTGTCACTGGTCGCTGCGTCGTGGTGTACCGGTGCAGAGCTTTCCTACGAGGTGTGAGGCACAGGCAGGGTGACGGGGATCAACGTTCACTCTCCTTCACGTGTTTTCACTCTTTCTCTCTGGGGCGTTCCCTTATGTCGTTCCTCTCACATAACAAGGCCATGTTGTGTACCTCTACTGCTTCAACCTACAGCCCAGCAGCCACTCGTCGATCACTAGCCCTCCCTCCCCCGCCCCTGACGCCAGCTTGTCTGATATCTAGGTGCCATTTCACTGTCAAAGAATCAATGCGCTTAATTCTGCCTGGTGATTAATTTTCATTTTCTATATTATCACTTGACGCTGACTCTTGTGAGCCAGCCACCATCAGCAAGTTGAGTGTTACAGAAAGTGCTGTAACTCACTACAGTTCCGTCCAGGTTCAGTAAAGTAATCCAACAACTACCCGACAGACTATGTAGTCGTGAAAATGTGGTGTAATGGTTAGTATGTTCGCCTCGCAAGGGAGTGGTTCCAGGATCGATCCCCGGGAAGGATGAAACTATGAGTAAGTTTATTTGCCTCTGTCTACCCAGCAGTAATTGGGAACCTGTATGCTAATCGATTTTTGGATCGTGTTCTGGGTAATAGTCAGCCAGAGCAATTTGCGAGTTGTCCGGTCTTCTTGAATACAGCTCGTTAAATCAGGGTGTGGTTATTGTGTTGATGACAGCTTCTACACCTTAAACAAATTCACGCATAGGTGGCCCTAGGGCTGGCTATTATTCTAGTTGTGAGTCAAGGAGAAGTTAGGACAATCTTCGAAAATTATCACTGCCACAGTACCACCGTCGCTCACACCAGCATTGTTCACTGATACGGTTCACTCCTTGTGGACAAGAGACTGAATATTTTATCTTGCCCACACGGCACTTTCAACAGCTGCTGTGTACAACAATCTAACAGAGTTTAGTTTCATCAGCATATGATTTCCTCCAGTCTAACCCATCAACCTCCAACACCTTCAGTTAAGAGATGACGCCCTCTAACCTAACCTAACCCATCAACCTCCAACACCTTCAGTTAAGAGATGACGCCCTCTAACCTAACCTAACCCATCAACCTCCAACACCTTCAGCCTCTAAGTTAAGAGATGACGCCCTCTAACCTAACCTAACCCATCAACCTCCAACACCTTTAGTTAAGAGACGACGCCCTCTAACCTAACCTAACCCATCAACCTCCAACACCTTCAGTTAAGAGATGACGCCCTCTAACCTAACCTAACCCATCAACCTCCAACACCTTCAGTTAAGAGACGACGCCCTCTAACCTAACCTAACCCATCAACCTCCAACACCTTCAGTTAAGAGACGACGCCCTCTAACCTAACCTAACCCATCAACCTCCAACACCTTCAGTTAAGAGATGACGCCCTCTAACCTAACCTAACCCATCAACCTCCAACACCTTCAGTTAAGAGATGACGCCCTCTAACCTAACCTAACCCATCAACCTCCAACACCTTCAGTTAAGAGATGACGCCCTCTAACCTAACCTAACCCATCAACCTCCAACACCTTCAGTTAAGAGATGACGCCCTCTAACCTAACCTAACCCATCAACCTCCAACACCTTCAGTTAAGAGATGACGCCCTCTAACCTAACCTAACCCATCAACCTCCAACACCTACAGTTAAGAGACGACGCCCTCTAACCTAACCTAACCCATCAACCTCCAACACCTTCAGTTAAGAGATGACGCCCTCTAGCAGAGACAACAGCAAGCGTTTGGTCTCACCTGTCTCCTACTAATGGTTGACAATGTTTACACCGACGACGGCGATAGCGGAGGGTAAGCCAGGTAAGCCATAAGGTCTTCTGTAAGCCAGGTAAGCCATAAGGTCTTCTGTAAGCCAGGTAAGCCATAAGGTCTTCTGTAAGCCAATTATAAGTACATTTAAGCTGAGGTAGCGAGGACAAATGTGTGGTAGTGGTGAGTGGCGCACACTGGGGAAGTATTATGGAACACACTGGAGGGAGTGAGTGATGCAGCACACTACTGGTACATACTTTGCGTGGTCTAGAGTGGTGTTTTAACTTGGCTTGGTGGACGGCGTCGCTGAACCAGTGGGACACCGAATCTCCAAACTTGATGTCATCGGGAGAGTCAATGTCGAAGCAGTCGGCGAAATCAGCTGGCGGCTTGGGCTTGGGGATCTTGACGTTGCGGTACATGATGGTGGCGGCCCACTATGACGCCTCACTACAGTACTGGTCTTACAGTTGACGATGATAAACTTCAGGAGCGTCTACCACCTAAAGATACTTTCACCTTCCAGTAACTCACTATAAAAACTCATTATTAAACTAAAAATTGAAGATAAAAATCTTTCCACCCTGGTGGTGATCTCCAGCACTGCAGTCACTTGGTAAAAACACTCGCTTGATGGAACAAAGAACTAACTGTAGCTTTTAAACAACTACAGAGCGGACACATTTGTTTCTGTCTGTGACATTTTATTGACACCTTTTTGATAAACTCCTGGACTCGCGCCTACGTCACCTCCATCCAAAAATGATCAACGAATCACAAACACTTCTGTGTAATTTGATATTTCACTTCCTGTGCGACAAGTCTTGCCATGCCCTTCATTGAAATATTTGTTAAAATCGGTACGTTACTCTGTGCACAACACCCGACATTTCTGGTAATACAGCGGCCTCTTAACACAATGGTACGAGACCTCATATCAACATACATAGTATCGTACAGTGGTGTGGAGGCCATTCTTCCAAACTAAGCTCAAGAGTTGTGCTTCGTGTCTCCACTGGGTATACACTACTATAGGTAAATTGATGTTTGTGTTTACAGAGTCCCTTGATTGAGGAAGAGTCACACATCCATAACCTGGGTGTACATGCACACTTAAAGGTGGAACTGTAAAGAAAACACCATGGCCGTCTGTGCTACGTTCAAATCCACATCAAGTCACAAGAGAATGGAACAGCGGGCATGGTGAAGACTACAGTTAAATGGAGAAAATGATGAAATAGTTGGGATGTTGAACTTCCTCGAGGGACACTGTAAACACCCTCCGTTATCGCTAATTTATCCTCCAGAGTACGAGTGAAAAACGTACCCAAGACCTGTGTTAAACGTTCAGGTAAAGAATACGAGAGGACATGAGGCTGGGGAACAAGAGGATAGGCGGCTCACCATTTAATCTCATCACACATAGAACACACTCCACCGACTCTCATACAAATAAAGATAAAATGAAGAAGAGTTAATAGTTTTTGTACCTTGAGAGAAGTGAATAATTTGCTCCTGAGTTGAGAGTTTTTTTTGTACCATCAACTAAATGAATATTCTGTTCCCTAGTTAATAATTTCTGTGCAGTCATATAGGTGAATGTGTTAGTCAGGGCGGCAGCAAGCTTGTGATATATACAGTAGCGCGGTTATGACTGACACACACACACACACACACACACACACACACACACACACACACACACACACACACACACACACACACACACACACACACACACACACACACACACACACACACACACACACACACACACACACACACACACACACACACACACACACACACACACACACACACACACACACACACACACACACACACACACACACACACACACACACACACACACACACACACACACACACACACACACACACACACACACACACACACACACACACACACACACACACACACACACACACACACACACACACACACACACACACACACACACACACACACACACACACACACACACACACACACACACACACACACACACACACACACACACACACACACACACACACACACACACACACACACACACACACACACACACACACACACACACACACACACACACACACACACACACACACACACACACACACACCCACACACACACACACGATTATAATTAGACTTTTTTAATAAGAAATTTTATAGTTGTACAAATTTTTTCTTTTATAAAACATCTTAATATTTAACGAGTCTCGTCCACAATAGATAAAAATCTGGAGTGTGACGTAACCCTGTCAATGATCACTGATATAACATGTTAAGGTATCATAATAATGTATAAATCATTAGCATTATCCCTCCTACCTCCTTAACAGAGACAGACCCGTATATTAGGAAAAATCGTCGACCACGATCAAACTCAGATTTACATTTGGTTCAGGTTGTTCATAGACAATATAGTTATACAGACATTGACCAACAATAAGTCGATTTAACGAATCACAAACAAAGAAAGCCATTAAAGGCTTACTTCACGGCTATTGAACAAATTCAAATGATGAACCTAACAGTAAAAACTAATAATACACAATATATCCCCGAGGTGGGCAATACATAACCCAAGCCGCCAGTAATGTGAGGCTCTGTTTCGCCTGTTGGTTCATCGACAGTTTGTGGAATCATTGAAAGAACTTGAATGTGATTTCCATGACGTAGTTAACTAAGCATATGCTGGTTGGCTGAGTCGTGGTAAGGTTGTGTGTCCTCAGATTCAAGAGTTTCTTGTTTAATGACGGCAAATGGAAAATTCTCAGGAATTGAAAGTAAAGGTTGGCAGTGCGATTTGTGGCTTTGGGCTGACATTATCGGTCACTTGAATATTCTCCATAGAAAACTTCACAGAAAATGAAAACTTATTTGTGAGCAAGACCAAATGATGAGTGAGTTCAAGTCGAAACTCAGTCTTCCGCTCATACAAGTCCAGAAACAGGATTTAACACACTCTCCCAGTTTAGGACGCTATCTGTAGAATAAAAACAGAGGTGATGGATTTTGAAGTGGAAAAGGTCCACATCTTTGTAGCCTGGCTTTAGAGTTTGATCCAGAAATTTCAGCTGCGTTTCTCTGACTTCGAAACGTTCAACTTGACCTTCCAGCTGTTGAAGAATACATTGAATTTCAACACTGGAGAATCTTCTGAAGAACCCGTCAGTTTGCTTTGTTTGGCCAAGTGTGAGTTTGAAGCGGATATGTTTCAGCTGCTAAGCCAGGATTCACATATTCGACTCAACAATCGATCTCTTGTTTATATGTGAGAGATTCTTATGATTAGTGAAGATTTTCCTTGCTTGAAGCCCACGATTTCGAAGGTGATTTTCCATGTATAGTTCAACTTGGCTGTATGAGTCAATGTTTTCGTCAGTGACACACAGTAAGGCCAATTACTAAACCTATCACGACTTGTGGAGATGAATTTTGAGGCGGAGTTGAGATACGCATCGTGTTCTGATTTTGACCCAGACTTTCACCAATTGGCAAAAGAAAAAGATATCAAGGTTTCTCATTTATATAATTGACGCAGAAATGGTAGACTTACTTGTGTTTGCCAAGCCAGTGCCGCTAAAACTGTGTACTCTTTATTTTCCTCACAAATTCTGAATTATGTTTATTATGGCCAGAAAACCGCAGAGAAGGCATAAACAAAAAAGATATTTCCCACCCCTGGTATATAACATTTTATTCTACTCGTCATAATAACGTTCGCACTATAATCATACTTAATTTACGTTTATCAGTACGAGTTACATACGTTACATATACATTATTACTGGATAGTTTGGTATATTTATTCAGTTTAGAATCCAAAGTTAAACAGCTTGAAATGATGAAAGAAAATGTCAAATGGTGTGGAAAGAACAAGGTCGAGAGAATCATAATGGAACAAATAGTCACTGTTGAAACGCATCCATTTTCTCTGGGTGTTGGAGGTTCAAGGGCGTCCACAACCCTTAACTCTGGTGGCCGCGCTCACTGATGCACCCCTTCCACTCTCTGCTGACATAACCTACAGTACACGTGCCACAAGTATTACCACCGAGAAGAAAAAAATACAATGAATATGAATGTAAAATTAGTTAACCTCTATTATAAAAAAAAATGTTGCAAGCAAATCTTTCTTAACGTAGCCAAAACTTGTATTTATAGTTTGGCATTGATTAGGTTAGGTTAGGAATGTCTAAAATATTAAAAGTAAGAATGAAAAGAACTGTGAAATCGATCTCGTTCATGGTATTTTTGTAACACTGGCGCCGCTTCTTGGTACTCGCCATAAACCACAAGTGACAACCACCAACGAAACAGTTCTGTCAACTACCCAGAAAACATAATTACCAACAGGCGGACACACAGTTGCCATGTACCCACCAAAACAAGGGGCCTTCTCGCAAACATCCATAATGATATCGACGACGAATCAATGTTACTATACACGGTGATACTAACCAAGCACACTTGTTCAGTTACGACAAAACGCAAAATACGACACGATAAATAAACGCCACTAGAGTATTGTTTGTATGTTCATTCTTGACTCATGGTAAACACTTCCTCTCCCTATTAACACTTCCTATTAACACTTCCTCTACCTATTAACACTTCCTATTAACACTTCCTATTAACACTTCATCTACTTATTAACACTTCCTCTTCCTATTAACACTTCCTCTACTTATTAGCACTTCCTATTAACACTTCCTCTACTTATTAGGACTTCCTCTACTTATTAACACTTCCTCTTCCTATTAACACTTCCTCTACTTATTAGGACTTCCTCTACTTATTAACACTTCCTCTTCCTATTAACACTTCCTCTACTTATTAGCACTTCCTATTAACACTTCCTCTACTTATTAACACTTCCTCTTCCTATTAACACTTCCTCTACTTATTAACACTTCCTATTAACACTTCCTCTACTTATTAACACTTCCTATTAACACTTCCTCTACTTATTAACACTTCCTATTAACACTTCCTCTACTTACTAACACTTCCTATTAACACTTCCTATTAACACTTCCTCTACTCATTAACACTTCCTCTACCTATTAACACTTCCTATTAACACTTCCTCTACTTACTAACACCTTTCCTTATACGGATTATCTCTTCTTTCACTTATATAAGTAAATAATAAATAAATAAATAAATAAATAAATAAATAAATAAATAAATAAATAAATATATATATAATGTGTTGGTCCTTTGAGGTATTTGGCAATAGCAGCTGTACCCTCTGTAGGTGACGTGAGCCCCATGAGTGTAGTGGGTCAGCTGTACCCTCTGTAGGTGACGTGAGCCCCATGAGTGTAGCGGGTCAGCTGTACCCTCTGTAGGTTACGTGAGCCCCATGAGTGTAGAGGGTCAGCTGTACCCTCTGTAGGTGACGTGAGCCCCATGAGTGTAGCGGGTCAGCTGTACCCTCTGTAGGTGACGTGAGGTGAGTGTAGCGGGTCACTGTGTAGGGGTGAGCCCCGTGGTGTGCCCCTGGGTCAGCTGTACCCTCTGTAGGTGACGTGAGCCCCATGAGTGTAGCGGTCATTATGGTGGAGGTAAGGCCCATACGAGGGAGAGTGTGAGACAGAGAAAGATAAGAGCACACACACACACACACACACACACACACTTCATCTCACACACACACACACACACTTCATCTCACACACACACACACACTTCATCACATCTTCAAGGGCCGCTGCTCCTTAACATCTAACGCGGCATCACTGAGGGTCTGTGGTAATCATCCACCAACACTGCTATTTGGACAACTTTATTACACATTTAACATCTTCAAATCACTACACTTAACACTTGTCAACACTCCGACACTTGTTGACACACGGCACTTTATAAGTTGGATTAGTTTTTTTAAATATTGAAGTACTGGTTTCAGCCATGAAGACGGCGCTGAAAGTGCTAAAATAGAACACAAACCTGGATTATCCAGGAGAAAACGCGAGTGTGCTGGAGTTGGTAGCCGGGCCAAGCGACCCGCACTCGCTGTCGTCCAGCCTACACCTCACTCCCAAACACAACACGGTAAAAGGACGAGGTGGATCATCTCAAGAACACCCAGATGGACGACAAGCCAACACCCTGAGGTTGCCTAACACCTCCCTCTGCTCTCTCGCATTCTCTACTCTGTTCACTTGCTGAACTTCCAACGCAAACACATGTAAGTGAATTGCTGAGGTGCTGGCAGACCACCCCACCACCTCACCACCTCAAGCTCCATTCATATCTCCCCTCGAAAAAAACCCCCACAAAAATCAGGTAGACTTAAAGACGTCTGAACCAACACAAAATAAAACACGGTACTGTTGGTGTAATTAATGCATATGTGTATTGATATCACAGGTATCCAGCCAACAATTCCCCACATTATTCAGCATTACCTTTCTTGTATTACTATATTCTCAAAGCAAAACACACGATATTTAACAAACCATGCAAAGATTTATTAATCGTGGGTTGTATATCCCTTCCACGTGCTCCGTCCCACCTATACTAGAGAGAATGTGATAAGCTCCACCGTGCAGTAATTAATTAAGATACACTGACATTGGCAGTATACTTGCATCTCAAGAAGCTCAAATT